TAATAATTCAAATAAAAGGGAAATCATTGCGATACAAGATTAATTAAATACATGCAACCCAGGCAAAAAACGAAGCTATGACTGTTCAAAAGGAAAAAGTAAGAGTAAAAGAAATGAAAGAAGAAAATAAAATTTTAATGATGGATGTGGATTCTATTGCCGATCCGATTCGTCGTGAATTTATGAGACAAGAACAACAATGAATAATGTATAAAAGAAGTCAAGAATATTCACAATCACAACAACATCAATCCTCAGCCCCATTCAGTCAATACTATAATGATTTTGGTGTATCTGGAAACGACATAGCTCCCTACTAAGTTATTATGCTATTTACCGTAGTTTTAATTTTTATATATTTTAATTTAATGTATTTTCAATTGTCATGTATTTCCAATTTTAGTGTATTTTTATTTAATGTATTTTTAATCTTCACTTTTCAATTTTAGCAAAAACTAATATTTTATATTTGCACCATTCATTTTTTGAGATAATTATATATTTTTTGTACAATTATAATTTATAATAAATTAACTTANGTCTAGACTGCCTAGCATTCTTGGAAAGCCACGTTGTTCACCGATGTGCCGAAGCCTTGCAACATCGTTAGGTGTTGGTGATCTCAAATACTGCTCACCAAAAACCTCTACGACAGCTCGGCAAAATCTTTTCAGGCTCTCAATTGCAGTCGACTCTCCAATTTTCACATATTCATCAGTGGCATCCGCTGGCAAACCGTATGCCAGCATTCTAAAAACGGCTGTAATTTTTTGTAGAGTAGATAATCCAAATCTACCCATAGCATCGGCACGTTGTACAAAGTACATATCATGACCTTTAACTTCATCAACTATTCGGAGGAACAAATTACGGGACATCCGATATCTACGACGAAACTAGCGATCATTAAAGCGGGGATTATCTGAAAAATAATCAAGAAATAAATTATTATCAGCACCTTCACGATCTCGATTGATTACCAAAAATAATTATATATATTTTTGTACAATTATAACTTATAATAAAATTAATTTATAATTTTACATAAAAATAATAAATGCACGAAAATTAATTTATCAAAGTTATACCGCAAAGTTAAGATATAATATTAATATTATAAAAACATTACATAAACATAATTAAGTGTATATAAAGAGATAAAATAAAAGATTAAATAATAAAATAATAATAAAAAAGTGATGAATAGTAATGGGGGAGATGAATAGTGCACCCCTATATTTGAGAGAACACTATTCATCCCCCATTTTAGGGACAAAAATGGGGGAGGGTTGAAGTAAAATTTCCCCAAAAATTGCCCCCATTAGGGGGGACGGGGGCAAGGTTAGGATGACGATGATACTACATTTATTTTGGACTTTAGCCCATATTCACATTTTGGGTTGGACTATCAATTGTTTGGATCTGGTAAGAACTGGCCTCAACTTTAAAGGAGAGTCAACTTGGTTTTGTAAAATTAGCACGGGCTAGTCAGTTTTTGGACTGCTAATTGAAAAAAGTTAGCATTTACAAAGTCATTAAAAAATAGTCACTATTTTGCTGCAACACGGAAAGTTCCAGCATAATATACTGGAGATTGGTGCACTTTTGTAGGAACTTCCAGCATATTAGGCTAGAACACCAGCACACGGAAAGTTTCAGCGTAATATGGAGATTGGAGCACCTGTGTATGAACTTCCAGCATATTATGCTGGAATTCTAGTATATTATGTTGGAACTCCAGTATATTATGCTGGAAGTTCACATGTAAAAAATTCGAACTCCAGTATATTATGCTGGAATATTTTTCGGATTTTGAGCAGTGTTTTCGTTCAGATTAATTACTACATGAAAATTGACCAAATTTTGACTACTTTTAAAATTGTGCCTATTTTTCAATTACTACTTGTAAATTTGGCTATTTTTGAATTTCACCCCTTGAATTTCTCTTCATTTTGTAAGAGTCATTATAAACTAATTTCCTCCAAAAAAATAAAATAAAATAAAATGATGTGGTGTAAAAGGGATAAAGAGCTAAAGATTTTTAAAAATAAAAGGAAGCTTTTATAGATGATACATTGATTTAAGTTATCCTTTTTTTAAATATCTTGCATTTGTTTTGTTAATTTAGACTTTGTTTAAAATCATCTCGTAGGTCATGTTCATTAAAGATCGGGTGCAATGTTCGGTTAGGGTTTATTCTGTAATTTTAATTGTCAAAATTAGGTTTCCTAGTTTGAAGTTATCATAACTATGATTTTAAGTTGTACAATGATGTTTGCCACTTAATATTAATGTGAAACCAAACTTAGTTCACATAAATAAATAAAAAGGAAAAAGAACTTGGCTTAATTGAAAAAATGTTCCAGGACTATTCAATAAAGAATAATTTTGTTAAATTAGTACAACATTTTAAAAGGAATTGAATTTTCAAAATTGATTTAATATTATTTGAGTTTTCTGTAATGTTAAAATAAGTTTATGAATAATTAATTATTTTTTGTTACTTTGTCTTCATGAAAGTTTTAGAATAAAATAGTTTTATTGTTTTGCAAGGAATAAGGAGATTAGGATTTATATTCATTAAAAAGGGTAGAATTAAGGTGTAAACCACAAATGAGAACATACATTATTGGAACAGAGCATGGAATCTTACGGAAATGTACCAAAAAAGGTATTATTTATCAATAACTAGCTATTTTAGTCATGTTATTAAAAATAGTCAAAAATATTATCAATGATATACAACATTCAAAAAATATAGGAAAAAAAAAGATTTCTTTCAATGGTATTATTGCGATTCGTTGACAACATATAAATGGGGCAATATACAAAATTTGACGAAGTGTGAAGGTGAATTAGACCAGTTCTGGAATCAAAATTCATTATCGATGATATACGATATTAAAAAAATAGGCAAAAAAGAACTTTTTTTCTTTCAATGGGTATGGTTGGAATTCGTTGAAAACATATAGATGAGGCAATATATAAATTTTGAGCAAGAGTGGAGGTGATTTGTAATGTTTTGGTATCAAAATTTGTGATAAAATCGAGCTTAATTTTCTTTTTCTGCGACACATGTATAAAAAATGTATCATGCATGTATCTCACACACAAGTATACATGGATATACATGTGATGCACATTTGATACACATATGATATATACGTGATATACAAATGATACACATATCTTCTTTTTTTATGTTCATCTTCTACTTCGAATTTTCAATTCAAACCACCCCAAAACTCCACCAAATCATCCCAAGATTGAGATTCAAACTCTTTAGGATGTACCCAATCTATTTTAAAAATACCCAATCAAAAAAAATTAAAAATTTAACCTTTTTGGCTACAAATAGCTAATTGACTTATATTGGTAAAAATTACATGGGGCGCCCTATTTGGTCGCCTCCATTTAACCTATACCCATTTTTTAAAAAAATTTTTATTTGTACCCACTTTTTAAACAGCTTCGGGTCTCTTTGTCCTCCTCCTTCTCCTCATTCATTTTCTAGACGCTGAAGCTTGAGATATTGTTATGCATTCTAGCCTGATGATTCATATATATCTACTTGTCCCACTATGTTCAGTTTGGTCTTATTCACAATAATTTAATCTTAGATATTTTAGCTTTACAGGCCCAATAGAGAGAAGTATTTTGAAGCTGAGATATTGAGAAGATACAAATGGGCTTATGAACAGCCTTGGGTTAGATCTAGGCTCAAGTATCTCGTTTTGGTTCTAATTTATCTGTAGTAACTTGTTTTCATATCGAAAATATTTTTCATTCTTTAATTTTTGAAATGACAGCATCAATCGCTGCTAATCATGATCTATTCTGGAGAAAGATTATCTTCCTCATTTTCGTGTGCGGACTTAGAACATCAGCTCTAAGGATGCTGAAGTTTAGCAAATACAAAACAAACTTCAGCCCTAGAATGCTAAAGTTCAGCAATACAAAACAAACTTCAGCTCCTAGAACGCTGAAGTTCAGCAATTACAAAACAAAAACTTCAGCCAAAACATGCTGTAGTTTTATTGAACTAAAGTTTGCCATTGCACTATGAACTGAAGTTTGCGTGATTGCCTTTGCAAGTCAGGCCAAACTTCAGGCAAAAATATCTGAAGTTTTGCTTTGATAAGGCTACACTTTAGGCAACACATTATGAAGTTCAAACTTCAGACATAAATTTTTGCTACTTCAGGCCCGTATGTCTGAAGTTACCCGAAAAGTGGGTACGCTTACATTTTTTTTGCAAAGCGGGTATAAATTAAAAGTTGACCCAAAAACTGGGTATAGATGCAAATGACCCCTTATGTTGATAGCATTTGACTAATATTAATAATATTTTATGGATTAGCCAATTTTTATAATAAGTTACTTATGGGTGGAGATAACTATAGTTTCCAACAAAATACAAAGAACATGAAGATTAGAAACCCAATAGAGAAGATTATAAATTGATTTTTACAAGGTGATTATTGTTCAAAAAATAATTTAATATTGTTAATTAAGCACAATAAGTTGTAGGGGTTAATTGGTTAGAACAAAAAAGGAATTGTATGCACTTGCTAATACTGCTTGCGTATATGGAAGCTATCTCGTTGTTTATTTCCTAGGGTTTTTATTCATTATACAGTGAAATCTCTCTATAATAGCCTTGTTTGTTCCAGATATTTTGGAATGTTATAGCTAATTGCTGTTATAGAAAACATATATTATAACAGAACATAAAATTTGATTCCGGAAAAACTTGGCTTTTATAATAAAATGGTATTATATAAGGATGCTGAGAAGTTTGACGGCTTTGGTTTGCATATTTCATGTCATAATAAACATACTAAACTTTTTTGCTCATATAATTCTGCTGTTGCCTCTAAATAAAAATCTTTTGTAAAATATAAATAATTTGCGTAAATTAATATCAGCAATAAATGGTACTTAGTAAAAAAAAAAAAAAAAATAGGCCGCCATTTGGAAAAGACAAAAGGAACAGGCCGCCACCATTTTCAAAGGCCATAGTTTGACAACTATTACTCTTCCAAATTGATAGCAGCGTCTGCTTCTCTCTCCACCGCCTCCAATTTTCCATTTTCAATAGGAGTTTTGGCGATGTCGGAGAAATTCTCAGCGACACTAAGGATAGGGGATTTGAATGATTACATAGCTCCCTCCCAGGGCTGCGTCGTTTCCCTCAATGCTAATTCTACTCCTAGGATCCCCCGGGTATATCTTTTTTACTACATTTTTTTAAGGTTAGGGTTTTAATACATGTAATTTTTGTTATTCACTGTGGGCGAAATAGATCAGCCTCTCTTAGGCATGGATTTTGTGTTCATGCTGACTTGAATTTAGACTTGTAGGGATTTGGTGTAAAGAGAATACCTTTATAGTATTGAACAATTGACTTATATTTCTTACGGCTGCAATTGGTTTGAAGAACAGCTAGCTGCTCCTACTTAATATTATTAGACTATTGTTGCTATAGCTAATTATGTTGAGTTAATGCTGCTTTTCTTGAACAGAATGTGGGAAAATCAGCTGGAGCTCTGAGCAAACCAGTAGTACAAAATGAACCCGTCAAAATTTCTCTCAAAGATTGCTTGGCTTGCAGGTATTACCTTATCTCTTTTTGGATATACTGTTCTAGGCAACCATGCCCTGAATTGAAAAGTTAGACTCAGTAATATGGGGATAACCTTAACATGACTTTGTTTATGTTAAAAAAAAAGATCATCACAGGGTCAGCAAAGAAAAAGAAGCTATGTCATATTAGCTACGTCATATTATAATATGGGCTGACTTAATCTCTCTTTTGTAACCTTAGCTTCTGCTTGATGCCTTTTAATGTTTCAACTTACTTCATCAAAAAAAGAGTCGGAGATGATTAACAAACTAATGTAATTGGTAAAAGGTCATTTTTGTCATTCTTGTAATCTCTAATACAGTGTATTTCTAATACGTCTATCATGTTTAGTTTTATTAAAATAATACGTCAATTGCAGATGTCCAATACATAGATCATTCAAGGTTTAGAAGTAGCAAACAAACAAGAATAATTTCCAATTACACATTCAAGCAAATGAGCCCTAGCCAAAGTTCAAAAGCGAAAGCGCAAAAAGAGCGCCAAAGTCTATTGGAGCTTTAAGCACAAAACACAACTGAAGTTGTTTCTAGTGAAGAAAAGCGCCAGTGAAGAATATATAAAAATGGAAATGATATGCAAGAAAATGTAACTATAAACACAAACAATAATTATTTGGACAAAGGAAGAAAAATCAATAATTAAGCTGTATATATGCAGTTAAAATCATGTCAATCAAGTTCAAACTGCAAAGTATTTTAAATTTCTGATTTAGAATAGAAGACGTACAGAAGGCTGAATGGTGTACTTGGTTGGATGCTAGGTTATTTACTTGGAGGTTAAGGGATCGAGTCCCACTTAGTACCTTCTTTCCTTATCAAAAATAGAAGATGTAGTCTTAGGTTTTCAGTAGCCAGATTTCTTATGCTAAATTTCTAATATCTTATTCTTAATCATTAAAGTTCAACCACAGCGTTTTCTTAACAACTAAAGTGTATCATTTTGTCAGCTATATTTATTGTCTTGTCCCATAGTGAAAATGACCACGCCTTAGCACCTTGACGCCTACCGTAAAGGGCCAGTTAAGTGACAGGGAAGTGCACAACTTGAGCTTCTCCAAGCTTAACAAAACTGGCTCTAACTGTAAATCAACTATGACGGTTCAAATAGCTTGAATTTTTCCATTGTTTTCGCAATTTTGGGCTACATTTCTATGTTAAGGCTTAGGTGCCGGTCTTGTTCTTTTCCCTGAAAAAGGTAAGATAATTTTATAAATAAACCAGCACAAAGATCGTGCTGTAGCCACTGTACAATATCAGCAGAGAAGCAAAAAACAAAAGCACTCCGCTAAACCTGTAAAGACTCTAGAACCTGTAAAACTATTTCAGCCTTATTTACATGTTCCATTCTAACCAAAAGCAAAACAAAAATGCATTGGCCTTTATCTTTTGAATGGAGTTAGTGTTGTCTTCAAAACAGCTTATGTTTCTCTCACTCCAAATGGTCCACCATATGCACGCTGGTATAATATTCCACTATAGTAGCTTTCTCTTCCTGACTCCCTTTCTGTACCAGCACTTCAACAAGTCCTCTATTGTCCCTGACATGACCTATTCGAAACCAATCGTATCCATGAAGAGCTGCCAAGTTGGGTGGTAACTTGGCAGTGCGAAAACATTTGGTTGTCAAAACAGTACCTCTCTTTTGTAGATTCTCATGTGTGAGACAAGTTTTCAGTAAATACTATCCATGTGAAACAAGCAACCTTAGTTGGAGCTCTGGACCTACAAATTTATTTCCATAGGGAAGGCTATTCAGGATTATCCACCTTTTGTTAGATCTTTATAGCAACAATTTACTGAAACTCCATTGCTTCCTGGCAGTGATGTCAAAGGCGCGCTTAAGCCCTGAAGCGAAGCTTAAAATATGTTGAGCGCTTCGCCTCGCTTTGTGGGCGCTTCAGTGTCACATCAAGGCTCTAAGGCATATTTCTCCTTGCCAATGAGTGCAATCCTAAAAAGGCGATACTAAACAATTGATATTTCACTTTTTATCGTAATTTTTTCCAATTTCTTTATCCATATATTTGTTAATTCATGTTTATAATTATTGATCTTGGATTACATATACATGTTTTTACTTTTTCTCCAGTTGCGCCTTTCTCCATTAAAGCCCACGCTTTATTTACGCTTTGCGCTTAAAGCCCCAACGGACCTTAGAGCTTTTTGTGCTTTTTGCCTTTGATAACCCTGCTTCTTGGCTTCCATATTAGGCTGTCATCAGTGTTGGATGGCTGCTGATTTGTATTCAGAAGGTTGAAAAATTCAGCAACCCTGTGTACTTCCCAATCATTGAAATTTCTTCTAAATGATGTTCCAAACGCCATCAATTCTGTTTTCTGCTAAAGACGAAGTATTGTTTGCTGCCATTATAAACATATCGGGTAAAAGGTCCCTCATAGGTCTGTGACCAACCCAGTTATACGGTGCTGGTCTTGTTGCAGTCAGTCCAGTCTATAAGTAACACAGAAAAATGCTTCATGATAAAAAAGAAGAAGAAGAGAAGTTACTCAGAAAACTATTACTTGATAGATATTAATTTTATTCTGTTTTACTTTGTGTTTGAATTTTATTGCTTGAGCTATTAAAAGCAAATGCCAATCTCTCTATAAAAGATTTAACAATAAAGAGCTTGATCCCTGATTGCAGCGGGTGCATTACATCAGCAGAAACAGTCATGCTTGAGAAGCAGAGCTTAGATGAGTTCCTTTCCAATTTGGAAAAGGGAAGAACGGTTATTGTCTCTGTATCTCCCCAGTCTAGGGCCTCTCTCGCTGTTCAATATGGACTTTCTTCACTTCAGGTAGGTTTTGGTATTTTCATATTTGTAATTTCACTTTTTGCAGTAGGTCTTCTCACCTGATATGACCGCTGTAATTCTTACTTCCATCCTTTTTTCTTGGTAAAATGCCTTTTTTGAGGGATGCAGGCCTGTGGTGTTTGTTTTCCTGCTTTTCAGCAAAGTAAAAAAAAAAACAAGTATTGCAAAGCATTTGCTTTTGTTTGAAATAAATACGAGCTTGCACTTCTTATTTCAGGTCTTCAGGAAGCTCACAACTTTATTTAAGTCTCTGGGTGTGAAAGCTATATTTGATACCAGCAGCAGTAGAGACTTGACCCTAATAGAATCTTGTAACGAGTTCATGGTGCGATACAAACAATCCCAAAGTACAGGTAATGGGGAGTCAAAGCCACCTTTGCCTATGATATCTTCCGCATGTCCAGGTAATGGCTTCATTTACTTTGGTGTTTGTCTTAATTTCTTGCTTGAGATTCTACGATATGTTCTAATTCTACTGGTGTTGAAATTGCAGGTTGGATATGCTACGCTGAGAAGACCCTTGGTTCTTACATTCTTCCATACATTTCTTCAGTCAAGAGCCCCCAACAAACTATTGGAGCAGTCGTTAAGAATTATTTATGTCAAAAGCTAAGTGTAAGGTAGCTTGTTGTCATCTCGTCTTTTAAGCATTGTGCATCATATGTGAACTGTAATTTTCATTTTTGTGTTTTTGAACTGTAATGCTTGGACTCTGCGTGTCTACCTCAAAAAGAAGAATCAGTCATAAGTTGCTGTTTTGCAAATATGCACTAAGCAATCGACTTTTGCTGCCTGTTGTGCTTCCCATCCATTTTATGCATCCTACAGAAAGTTTTCAGAGAAACCATTTCTTTTTCATTTACAGTGAAAATCAGTGCTGACAGATTGATATTTCAGGATATATGATATTGCATGTTAGTTGATGAAAAGTTAAAGTTTTTGTAATGTTCCTTAAATCGAGCTGTTAGTTGTTGGACCTGATCGCAGTCAACTGGTGCTTGATAGATTTGCTTTTTGTACAGACCAGAGGATATATATCATGTGACGGTAATGCCATGTTATGACAAGAAACTCGAGGCTGCTCGTGAGGACTTTGTGTTTCAAGTGGATACAGATAGTGAAAAAATTACGGAGGTTGATTCAGTTCTGACAACAGGAGAGGTTTTGGATTTGATACAGGTAAAGAAAGTTTTCTGCTTCTCAGTATTACTTTCCCTCAGAGCAAAAATGTGAGAGAGCTTGCATTTATAGAGTACTTGCAGTTATTTTCCTTTCATATCTTTTGTTTCACTCTTTTTAGGTTTTGTTCTTTATAAAGGGCACTATGTTGTTTACTCATAGTCAAACTCTTTCTCTTTGATGTAGTTAAAAGCAGTTAATTTTCACTCCTTGGAAGAGTCACCCCTAGATAAGTTGTAAGCACTTTTATACACCTTCCATTTATTTCATTTGTTAATGCAAATCCTTACAATTGAGTGCTTATATTCTCTCTAAAGGTTTGCCAATATCGATGAGGAGGGCCATCTTTATGGGGTTCACGGAAGCTCTGGAGGATATGCAGATACCATTTATCGTCATGCTGCTAAAGTTCTCTTAAATCAGGAAGTTAAAGGCCCTATAGCATTCAAGACTTTAAGGAACTCTGATTTCCAAGAAGTGAGCCTAGAAGTAAGTTTGCTTGTTTTCCCCTAGGAGCATGATTTTATAGAATGCTGAAGACGCCCATATAGTGTTCTATTAAACTAAGTGCCTGTAGACTGGCAATGCAATATCTTCTTGATTTTGGTTCAATTATAATTTATTTATTAAGATCTTCCAATAATAATGGGCCTAGCCCTATTAAGTTCTCCCTAACCAAATGGAATGCTAAATTCAAATCGATGAACACCCAAGTAAGAATCTAGCTATTCCTAGCTTGATTCTATTAATTGAGTAATATAATCCTTTATAAAACTCAATTCCTTGATCGTCCCAACTTGCATCTGGTGGACAATTTGGAAAGAGAGAAATCAGAGATGTTTTGAAGATAACGGAAGTCTCATTCAGAAGCTGAAGATGAACTGTCTAGTTCTTTTTTATTTTTAGTGTAAACAGGTTTACTTACAAGGAGCTGAATTTATTTATGAGATTCTAGATTACTTATGATAGTTTAAGGGCTAGGAACTCAGGCTTCAATTCTCCTTGCAATTATATAGGACTACACTACTTTGTGTAATCCCTGCTTAATAGATATACTAATATGTTACCTTCTCCCAATTAAAAAAAAAAACTCAATTCCTTGATAATTGATTCTTACCTACTCTTGGTTCCATCTTCCCAAATTAAGAAAATTAGGGCTTAATCTAGTGCTGACCACCATTAAATTGACAAATAAAGCATGGAATCAGTTAAATAATCATAACCCAAGCAATTAGTGACAAGCAATTAATAACCCATTAACTTGCAAACTTAGGTCTACAACCCAAGCAGAGAATTAGCTACTCATGCTAGAAATGAAAGTAAAAGCAATTAAAAGATAAGAATTTATAATAATAATGAAAATTAAGTTGGATGACTCAAACTCCTGATGAATTTCCAAAAATTGCTTGAATCCTTGCTAAGAATAGTAGAAAGTTCCTATTGAATGCTTTCCAGCAGCAAAAGTTCCTACATATTCTTTCTATCTACTATACTGATTAAAAAAACACGTTATCTACTATTTATACTAGTCTAATTAATTTACAAATCATTCCTACAATAACTCTAATAATACTGCTAATTCAGCTACAAACGAAATAAAAGCGCTGACAGCGCTTTTGAATCCCAGATTTGAACTTCAGGAGCCTCCACTTTTGCTGCCAACAAAATAGATTCGCTGCAGCGCTTTGCCGTTGCTGCTGAAACTTCGAAGAATTACCAGATTGAACCCAATTCCACCGCCTGCGGCTTCCATCTGCTGCAATGGAATTTTCCTGCTGCAAAAACTTCAGATCCTATCAAACTGTCACAATTCTGCTGCCAGCGGAATCAAAACGCTGACAGCGGCTCTTTAGATAAGCTTGCATTTGAACTCTTCTTGAATCCTTTTGCCATCTTTTCTTCCTATTCAAAGATTTCCAAAATCTTTTAACTCTGCAACCAACGAAAATCAGGTGAGAAATGAGATTATACTATTGTATGCTATCAAAAGATTACAACAACAACAACAAAACCAGTATAGTCCCACAAGTGGGGTCTGAGGAGGGTAGAGTGTACGCAGACCTTACCCCTGCTTTTAAAAAGGCAGAGAGGCTGTTTCCGGTAGACCCTCGGCCCAGGAAGGAAAAAGGGGAGGGGCATGCTATCAAAAGATGCAAAACTTTAAAAGCTAGTGAAAGTTCGTAATATGTAGAGCTTCCGCACCACCCCGCGTATCCAATGTCTTCAAGTTGAACCATATATATGTAGTTGAAAGTTCTTTTTTAAATGTATATTTATAATAAGTTCGTAGCAATTGCCACAAAAGAGTAGTCGGCCATTGACAATCCACTGACGAGATGTCTATAACACAGGTGAATGATAAATCAGTCCTGAAATTTGCATTATGTTATGGTTTCCGAAACCTGCAGAATGTTGTCAGGAAAGTGAAAATGGGAAAGTGTGACTACCATTTCTTGGAGATCATGGCATGCCCTTCAGGTCAGATTCTAGATCTTTCTATTTTGTGAATAACAACTCTGAACCTCCTTGCATCAATGTTAACAGTTAGTTGTCTTTAATTGCCTCCCTCTTGATTATAGGATGCTTAAATGGTGGTGGACAAATAAAGCCACAGCCTGGGCAGTCAGGTAAAGAGTTGATTCGGCTGTTGGAGACGGCTTATGTAGAAGATGTAAGTGACATGGTGCAATTGGATTTTTTTTGTTTGTATAGCCAATTATGATTGGCAGAGTTTTTCATACTACACCATCTTGGACTCTAGAAATTTCCGCTCCAGCTTGAAGTTTTTGCGTATAATTTGTGCCAAGTCAAGGAACTATACAGTGTGTAACTTGAATTACAGAGCTTGGGAGATTCATCTCTGACTACTCTCTAGTAACCAAACATGAAAACATTCATGTTTGAGATGCTGAAATGGAAGTCTGTCTCCCCATCTGTGGCTTTTTTCTGTTATAAAGAGCTGCTGCTTTTTTTGGCTTTTATATTTTCTCCCGTAAGGAAGTTTATGAGAATGTTCGCCTAAGTAGATTCTAATGAAAGAAAGGTCTACTCTTTAGAAGTTGCAAAGCCATGATTGATATGAGAACTCTTTATTTTCTTTGCGCTTAAACTTTCTGATCTTTTGAAACTGAATGCTCTTTTGTTAATGTTCAGGTTGTCGTTGCTGATCCTTTCAACAATCCCATCATAAAAGGCCTATACAATGAGTGGCTTGAACAGCCTGGTTCAGAGAAAGCAAAGAGGTACTTGCATACTGAATATCATCCTGTAGTGAAAAGTATCACTTCACAGTTGCAGAACTGGTGAGAAATGCAAAATATCAGCTTTTAACCGGTTGGCGGAGTGTTCCCTTCTGCTGTTTTTCTGCAAGTGCATCCGGAGAGGGTTTTGATATTACACTGCATTGATTCAAAGTGCTCGCAATCTATGTTCAGAGGGCATGCACAACAATTTTGGTCCTGAACGAGTTCAACCCATACTGTAAATATGTTGTGTTTGTACTTGTGAATTACACAGTAGTTTAGGTTGCAATGCTAACATATTTGCCCCATCTAGATTGGAAGTTGTACTGTACGTGTCTTATCCCATAAGCTATCAAGCTTATTAAGTTGACACACTTCATATGTATCCGTTAGGAGAGCGGCAACTTTTTGATGCTAATGGTAAATAATATCACCATTATAAGTGTAGCCCTATTTGTATTCATAGGTTGCCTTTCCTTGGTCTGCTTTCCATCATCGCGCAAACAAGCGCATACATGTTAATGTCTTTTTGGGGCACCTACTCTTGGTTAATTTTTAAGCTAGACAATATGACCATTTCATTTTGAGGTTTTCCCCTTTTCATTAAAGCATAGTTCACAAGTTAAATCATGATGCAAACTCAGATGTTTCTTTTTAAAGGCAAAGTGGCACTCATCTTGAAATTCGTGGGGAGTTTCAAAAACTTCTGACATATGGGTCTGAAATTGGGCTTGCAAAAGCTTAGCTTCAGACCTGTATGTTTGAAGTTGGCATATTGTTTTGTGTAGTTCAAATTTTAGACATTTAGGTTTTGAAGTAAAGCTTGGCAATCCACAACTTTGGACTTGTGTGTCTGAAATTTGAACTACCAAACCTATCTTCAGACCAAGATTTGAAGTTAGTCCTCTTCGGCGAGATTTTCATTTATCACTAGCAACTTCTTTGTATGCTGTAATAGTAATATACTGCAGTCGGCTGAAATTTTGTTTACCCAGAATTTGTACAGTTCTTGTATGCGCATATCCACTTTTGATACTTGAACATGCTTGAGAGTATCAAGTCTACAGTTCGAAAGAAGTCCAAACATACCAATCATTCTCATTGTACATCAGAAAGAGCTATAAATAGTAAAAAAGACTGCATAACTATAACACCTTGAGCTTTGCAGCAACAGTTGTGAGACGGCTAGCAAGAAGAGGAGGGTCAGACATCATTTTGTCTGAAGTTTGCGACGCTACGTGAATGTTTGAGGGTGATCACTCTTGTGAAATTGGAACAGGAGAAATTAGAAGATGAACAGAATAAATTAAAAGATCAAGTGTAAAGTTTTTTGACTTCAAAGTTACATTTCACGGATGAAATATGAATATCTTTGAGAGTTTAAAGTTAAATTTTTATGATAATTTATATCATAAAAACAAATTGAGAAATGACTTTTTGGATAATTTTTATCTATAACAACCAAAGCTTCATTCTCGAATATTAACCAATTTATGAAAAATATTTGTTGCACGAACACTTAATAAAGAAAAGAAGAAAACAAAGAAGAGAACTACTTTCTATCTTCATTTCAAAAACTGATTTTGGATCAAAGATTAAACTTTTTTAATTGCTTCTTTCACCAGCATGGTCCGCCACTTCTTTTTTTAGGGTAGCGGGCATAAGTTGATTCTTCGAGGAACCAGAAGCACAAAGCTAAACCGAGGCGGAGGCAGAAAAAGAAACGGCTCCAGACAATAAAACCAAAGCAAAAAAGAAAAGAAGGTAGTAGCTGGTAAGTGCCTTCCAGAGCCGAAGTTTAAAAAGAAAAAAGAAAAAATAGGCGTCATCAAATATGACCTGCTTATGACCAAGGGATGTGATGGGATGAATGGATCCATCCACCTTTAAGCAGAGTCTCGGGTTCGAGCCCTGAGAATGGAGAAATTCTTGGCAGGGAGCACTTCCCCTTTGAACAGGTGTTACAGGACACACATATGAATTAGTTGGGCTAGTGGGTCCCGGCTATCAGATGGTTATACCAAAAAATTATGGCATGCGTTTGTGTGTGTATGTGTGTGTGTGAGTGAGGGAGAGTGAGCGAGGGTCATGCTCAGCACGAGCGTTGGGAATAGGTAGCGCAGCGATACAAGGGGGAAAACCTATATCTATATCCCCTTTGACACCAAAAACGGTAGAAAAAAGAAAGAAACAAGAGCTCTTCAAGAAAAGAAGGAACTGCTTACATACAATAATAGACCAGTCACGGCGCAAAGTTGCAGGACAGATTGATTAGAACAGGTTGTACAACATCAAATGTTTTCAGGTTTCGCATCATTCTGCATATTCAATTTCTTGCTCTCATCAACAGGATTGTTTTGATGTAAATGCGGAGCAGCCGATAAAGCCTTCTGGCCCTGATCAGCAGATACAGCTTTTGGACAAGTAGTGCTTACAGATTCAGACAAAGATATGGATGTCATGTTGAAACCACTCTCTCCTTCAGGTGGAGATGTCGATAATGCATCCATCGTGCCCCCCGTTTGGGATAAAGAGGCACCACTTGTCTTCTCAGTTTCTGGCAAACTGGGAGGTTTAACCTTTTGTGATCCATCGGTTTCAGAAGATGGTGCATTGCCCGAATTTGATAATGGGGAAACATCTGGTTCAGCGCTTTTACTCGTTCCATCTTTTCCTCCACCTACAACATAGAGTTACAGATCAGCTTGGAGAGGAAACAAAGATGTATGCACTACTTGACATTGATAAGCATAAATGAAACTAGTTGATCACCTATATTGGAAGCGGTGGCAGGAGATGCATTTGCACTTGAAGGCAACGAGCTTCCAGTTCCTTTTTTTATCCTAGACTGCATGGAGTTCAGCATTTAAAATTCATCAGTTGTTGTGAAATGACCATCTATCTTATTTTCCCTTTTCATTTCCTTCTTGGCCTTTTTTAACATGCTCTTAATAGCCAAACAAAAAACAAAAAACAAAAGACACATTGAACTAGCACGAGGGAGTTGTAGAAACAGAGTATCGTAAGCTAAACGTAAAATAGAATTATGTTACAGGGCTTTGGATATGTTCCCTAAAGGAAAGTGTGTAAGTATCAGGTAGCTGAACCTGTAAAGTTTTACTGATTCCAAATAAAGTTCAGAGAAAGGCCACTAGGTAGCCCTACCCTGTCAGCCTTAGACAGCCAGGTCAAAGCAAATAAAGGATCCATTTAACAAAGAATAGAGATTAAAAAGGAGAAAATGTTGAAGTGAAGGAGCCACATCTTTCTACAGTTTATGTAATTTGGGAGGTAAGAGGAAAAGGGAAATCAAGAGGCAAGAAAAAAACCAATTTGGCTATAAGGTTAGGTAAGCAAAGAGTATTCCCTGCTGTTCGAGTTTAGACCACAATGCATAAGAGGATGTTACAGCAGAGCACCTCAAGTGTGCAGCTCTATTTACTACACTCCTAAATCAGCAGTGATATCATATGCCAAGGTCTTAGATTTATTGGTGATTGATGACTCACCTGAGCGCTCTAGAAATTAAACTAGACTAATTCGACAAGGATGGATGTAATACCTTGGAATTTTCTTCACAATACTTAATAGCAGCTGAGACATTTGTGCAATGGCCATGCAGAAGTGTGTAGGCCCACAAAAGTAGCTTCCGTGAAGTGTTCATATCGAGTATGTCAACTGCATCTATGCCAGGTTGGATATATGTTTCTGTAGCAAATTGAGATGGCACCATATAAAGGTTTATACCTGATGGGAGCAATGCACAAAAAGTGTCCTTATAAAAATTATAGCAAGACCTAAGCAACATAGAAGCAGTTTCCATATCTTCATCTGCAGCTCTCTTTACTATTACATTTTTTATCTTAGACAATGAAGGGTTCCACTTCCTCTCAAGATCCTTCAAATGATTCATGTCCTCAAAAGATGAACTCCATAGTTCATCCAGTTGGAGATCAACACAAAGCAGTTGTGAATTCTCTAATCCATTAGCTGGCGAATTTGGAACTTGCACTTCACTAGAGAGTCTTGAATGCAAAGGTGTTATTAAGGCCATGCTAATTACAAGTGACCGACACCAAGCAGCAGAAACGTGCTTGTGAACTTTTGCGCAGTTACTATTCGACAGCTTTGGGTTCTTCAAACGCTTGCGTATCTTCTCATTTATTCCTTCAAGCGCTTCAACTTTGATATTTTGCTCTAAAGACTGGATATATCGATAAAGATATCTGCAAGGAATGTTAAAATGGTATTTGTATAAGCAAACTGCTTTGAGTTTAAGCAAACAGTGGACTTCATAGCTTCAAGGAATTTGAAACTGTATTCCACAAATGCTCATGGTATCATTTCTATTGTTCAAAGCCTGGTTAGGACTCAGATGAATAAACAACAGAGACACTTCTGGGACACACTGGAAAATTCATACATTCCCAAAAGTGAAAAATATATAAAGTACTTGATGCAAGGAAATATCTTGATAGCAATTTTAATGAGAATATTGAGCAACTAACACATGTATAACTGCTCACTCTATCCAGATTGTTATCAAATTACATCTATTTCTTGTAGTTCCTATTTGTGCACCAATACTCTTTTTTTTTTTTTGAAGAAGAAGAGCAAGTTGTGCACCACCACATTTTATAGGAACAAAATTATACAATATTTTGATAATCCAAAAATCATTCATTGCATATCACACCAAGATGGTGTCAGTACAAGAGGTAAACAATAAATATCCAAACAAACCCTTCTAACTAATGTCTCTTTTACATCAAAAACACAAATAAAACAAAATATCTTGTTTGATACTAGAACAAAATTATACCTGAACATAGTTCTTAGATAAGAGAGCAATTATTTCCTTATACCTTTGTTATTTTGCTCAGCTTACAATTGGTGTAGATCAATATTGAGACTACAAAAGAGATGGGAAGAATCCTTCTTTTTTATTACCATAGAGATGGAAAACAAATTTTTTCGATTGCGAATGTAAGCAAGCTGGAAACCACAGAAAAACTTCAAGTTAGTACAGCAAACATAAAGTTGGGGTCACTTCAAAAGAACTTACCCAAATAAACAGCTCTCCGTCAACTCTGAGCTCTTTATTTCTGGTAAGCCACAAATATCAGACCACATGGTTACCTGTTCCATGAACAGAGAGAACATTTTCTCCAGATGATGCTCACTAGAGTTGCTAGCAGCAAAAGACATATGGTCAGTTTGATGTATAGATGAAATTAATGCCTTTAAGTATCGTCCAAGAGCAACTGGAATGAGATCTTCAAGGCATAAGGAGAACTGGATGAAAAATATTTATATATGTTAGGCAAGGGAGTTTTCATTAAATAAGAAATAGAGGTATAACTAAATTTACAAGAGTGGGTTGAGTTAATTAAATCAACAAGAACGGCCAGAGCTTTAGGTTCCATGTTAGTATCCAACAGAACAGGCAACGACGAGAGAATTGAAAGAAAGGAGGGTCTAAATTAGTTATCATAAATAGAAAGTTTAATCAGATGATCTATAACAAAAAATAAATGTTCTTCCAGGCGCTTTTATTTTTTTCCTGCATTTATTTTCCATGGTATTATACAAGTAAAACAACTCTCTTTGTATTTTCTACTGACTGTTATTCCAACTTGTAAAGCTCTAAGATATGGCATGAGGAGTGCTTTCCTATAAATAATAAAACTGAGCATTTGTGTCAGAAAATTTAGCTATTAGAAATGCTTTCTTATGGATAAATAAAATAAAGCAACCTCAAAGGGGCTTTGCTAATATGCAACCTCAGAAAGGGGCGACGCGATAAGGTGTATAAAGAAGAACATGTTTTTTTCATTAGGCTAATCATTAATGCTGCTAATCATTGTGAACAAAGTATGCATCCAATTCATATGGCAGTACCCTCTTATCTGTCCTAAGACAGAAATAAGCCCGATCAAGGGTACATATGTCTCCTGTCTCCTCCAGCAGTTTTAAATAGAATAATATGTACTTGCGGATGCAAGTAATGAACTTCCGAGAACTTTCTGCCAAGTTAACTTCTAGGGCTCTCCTGTTCCCTGAGCAACCTTGGGTTCTGCGCCTGCAATATGAATATTAAAAACATTGATCTGCATGGCTTAACTCATCGAAATTATTAACATTCTGAATCAGATGACGAGGCAAGAAATGTGGCTCCAATACTGACCAAGTAATGGACCTCAAAAGAGATTCATCTAGGAACATGACTATAATTGAATTTGCCCCTCATTGTTACCAAGTTCACCAGGTTCAATAAATAATATGTTTCCATTACTGTATCATTTGATGATTATAACAACCCAAAAACCTCACATTTCCTAACAAACATAGGCATTCATCAATTTGAACTTCAGTTCCAGTCGGTCTTCTTATTGACGTTCACATTTCCCTAAGTTGTTATAGTGACATATCTTTCTCTCCTACTTGTGAGTGATATAACCTATTCTTGAGAGTCGCAACAAACTAACTTCTGCAATTGCTTACTCACCACGCCCAACAATTTGCAAAAATTGTGACATACATCTAAATGATCAAATCAATAGACTCAGTCCCAGCTACGCCATACGTAACTCAATCCTAGTGTACGACAATACAAAGCGTGACCAATGAACTTTGTATGTCAGTCAACAAAACTGTAGGAGATCTTACAAAATGGCTGCCGTTTCAAGATCTTACTAGGAGGCAGTGGCATGGGCATCTTTGTCCCTTGATGGATGCTTACAAAAGATTACATAGTGAAACAATATTTTAGTGGCTTGGGATGCTTCAGATGAGATAAATATTTGTTGAACACATCTTTGGTGGAAACATTCGCGGAGTAGGGAGGTTGAGCTTGCAAAGTATATGTTGTCTACAACGTCAAACCGAGAAGATACCCTACAGCTTATCCACTTCCCATTTACAAACAGTCACGGGAAGAGATCGTCTCCACTCTAGATCTGTGCATGTATTTTATGGTCTACATTGATGATATAATTATCAGAGGTGATGGAGTGGGAATTACCAAGTTGAAGCATCATTTTTTTTTTCCAGCACTTTCAGACCAAGGACCCTGGTCAGTAGATACTTCCTAGGTATGAGGTTGCTCAATCCAGATCAGGCATTTCTTGAAATTCTTAATAAGACAAGAATGATAGACTTTAGGCTCATGATACTCTGTGGATCCGAATGTTAAGCTTCTACTAGGTTATAGGGAGCCTCTTAGTGATCCCGGAAGATATAGGAGGTTGATCGGCAAGTAAATTACCTCACTGTGACTCGGCTTGACATTGTTTTCCCAGTGAGTGTCATAAGTCAATTCCTGGATTTTCCTTGTGATAGTAACTGGAATGAATTTGTTTGTATCCTTCGATACATAAAATATGTTCCAGAGAAAAGACTACTCTACGAAGATAGAGGACATGAGCATATTGCTGGATATACTAGAGGACAGATTGGGCAGACTTATGATCTCCCTCCCGATACTGCATTCTGCTTGGGAGAAATCTATTTGTCTTGGAAAAGTAAGAACAAAACGTAATTGCAAGATCGAGCGAAGAAGCAGAATTATCGGGCTACGGCAGTGGCTATATGTGAACTCATACGGATCAAGTAACTGCTAACAGAACTACAATTAGGAGAGATTGACCAAACTGACCTTATGTGTGATAATCAGGCTACACTTTATATTGCATCAAATCCAGTGTTTCATGATAGGACCAAGCACATAGAAATTGATTGTCATTTTGTCATAGAAAAGATAATCTCAGGAGACATTGTCATAAAGTTCATGAAGTTAAATGATCAACTTGGAGATATAAACACCAAGTCCCTTACCTTTCTCAAAAGAAGGTATATATTATGCAGCGGGCTTGATACATACCATTTGTATGTGCCAACTTGAGGGGAGTATTAGGGTCTTGTGAAATAGTAACATATCAATCCAAAATCAAGTAGATTGCTTTATTTCCTGTAGTTATGTAATTTTGATTTTCATTCCTTTCTTGGAACATGTAGACTTCACTATCTAAACCCCCAATAGCTTGAGGGAATAATCAAGCAATGTTGTTTTCTCAATCTTCTCTTGCTTGTTTCATTTCTCTCAATGTGTATTTTGGAATGATTTGCGAGAAAGGAACAATAGAAAAAAACTTTATGGACATTCGAGGCTCTTTTTACTTCCATTTATATTTATTTTTTTGGGGAAAGAAACTATCTTATTTTTTATTTGCACCGGGTGTCCGAGTCTCTAAGAGCCCGGACTAATCCCGGGGGTGCACAGGCCCTCGGCAAGGAGTTTCCCGCAAGTGCACCACGGTTAATTCAGGTTTTACCTGGTCCGATGGCCCTCAGAAATTGTTTGCACCCAGTGGGTTTCGAACTTGAGACCTTGAAAGGGAGCAAACCCCAAGGCTCAAGTCTATTACCACCAGGCCAACCCCTGAGGGTTGGAAAGAAACTATCTTATTATATAGGGATAATACATAATTACCCCATTGAGGTTGTCTCACTTTACCAGTTGCACCCTCATACATTATAGGGGTCTTATGAACCCCCTTAACAACTTTGAACTGGTACTATTACCCCCTTTCGAGCCCACATGGCATGGAGAGTATATATCACTTACTTAAAGAGAGTAGGGGGAATCAAAAAAGAAAATTAAAAATTTAAATTTTTTGCAAGAAGTTTTATTAAAAGTATATTTTTTACTTTTCTTTCTTTTTTGTTTTTCTTCTCCTCATTGTTTTCCTTTTTTTTTTCTTCTTTTCTTTCTTCTCTTCTTCCTTCTTTTTAATTACAGGTACCTCCTCCGCCAATTCACTGCCTCCATTTCCACCAAACCACCAGATTTCTTTTTTTTTTTTAAAAGTTACACCCCTCATATTCATCCATTAAATCACATCCACCAATACTTCGATTGTCATCATCTCCACCATATCAGTTTCAAGAAAAAGCTTAGGAAGCTTCAACCAGATAAAACACAATCTAATAGAAATCCCACAATTGTGTTTTCCAAAATAACCATCCGTTCTCAGGTAAGATCTATATAGTGTGAGAGAAGGCACAAGGGGTTATAAAATTGTGGTTTCGATGAAAACGAGATTCCGTGACTTTCTCAGATGAAGCAGCGGTGAAGACATCCAGTTGCTTTCTCTGACGGAGATTGTAGATGTAGGTTTTAGGTGAATAAAAAGAGGGTAAAGAAAGAGAGGAAGAGAAAAAGGATAAGAAATAATCTGAAAAAGGACCGAAAAACTGAAAGGAAAAGAAAAAGAAAAGGAAAGAGCCAACTTCATAAAAAAAAAACCATCACAAAGCCATGGAATGAAAACAGGAGAAAGGGATATGAGATTGATGTTCCTCGAGACCACTCTCATCGCTGCAAATTCAAAAATGGGAACTTGAACAAAGAAACACGATGAAGAAGGAAAATGATGAAAACAATTAAAAAAGAAAACCAAAATAATAAAAGAAAAAGAAAAATGACATGGAATTAACGCGGCAACGCGTGGGATGCACTGCTTTGGCTTACATTTGGTTATCAGTATTCAGGGTGGTAATAACTTCACTTCGAATTAATTTAGGGGGGTCATAGGACCCACGCAAAGTAGAAGGGTGCATCTGACAAAGTGGGACAAGTCCAAGGGGGTAATTTTGTATTATCCCTATTATATATAGACACTTGGGTGGATCTTTTGGAATCTCAGGGTTGATCTTTCCAATAGCTTATGTAGATGGGATGGCAATCCTTTTATACCATATACTAAAGCTGACAACGCCTTGGTGTGATATTCAACACCAAGATTTTGATTCAATTAAATAAAAGGGCCTTCCCTAAATAAAGAGAGAACAATCTAGGAGGAATCAGAAAATGTCGTCAAAGTGCCTCCTCGATGTGCTAAATGATAGGACAGAGAAGAAAATAGAAATGCATACCTTCCCTTTTTAACCATACTGTCAATCTCCCACATGTTTATTGTGAATGAAGAACGAGCCGACCTAAAGCAGAAAGAAAGTTCCTCCTTTGCCTTCTCTATATCCATCTTCCCACCTCTTCGATATAGGCCTTGAGCAAGCATATATCTAGCCTTATGAAAATGTTTCAGGTCCCCTTCCACACATATTTCAAGGGCAGAAAGACAATCATTGTAAAGCATCTGCCACACCCCTTCAAAATGTGAATCCCCTTTTACATCATTTACAGAGTAAGCATCGGGAGTTCTTTCCTCGGAGCACATTGATTCTGAAATTGATGGGCAAACCTTACTGAGGATATCCATCACAGTATCCTGAGTCGATTCATTGAAACAGTGCGCAGCAACAACCTAAAATGAATCCGGGCACTAATTAATTCAACAATTGTATTCCTACCACATGGAAAATGGTCACATGAAAAAGGTAACTATTTCCAAGTCTGGCCAGAGAAGGGGCATGCAGATTGTCAGGGTATGTTTTGGGAACTCTTCTGTGATGAGCTATGAAGAAAAAAAGAAAACGACGCACATGCTGCTGAAATTTATGAACCTATATAGGTTGCTGATTAGAGAAGAGCGTTATATAATACACAAACCTGAACTCTAAGCAAGCTATCTTTAGAATAATCAAGTGAAACATATTTCTGTTGCGCTTGTGTATATATTTTGAAATGTGGCTTTGCTGTGTATGTCTCTCGAAATTTTACATAGAACTGGAGATAGATTAGATCTATGAACAACGAAAAGAGCTAAAACTAAATTAGCTATCTTCACGACTGTCAATACACACCTATTCGTGTCATAGTTCGCTTACATGTATAACTGTCACAATAAAGGAGGAAACAGAAAGGAGCTAAAACAAGTTTCAGAAAAGCACCTACCTTCAAGGCCTCCTCATCTTGTTTCCTACATGTGCAAAGTAACTTCAACCGTGAAGCATGCATCCTATAGAAAGAATCTGCAGCAGATGGATTCAAAGCAATAGCTTTAGCATAGAATGAAAATGACATCTCATGTGAGTATCCAAGCTTCTCGGAGAGTTTCCCCAGATAGAATGCATGCGACCAATCCTCCCTGAAATTGCATGCTCGGTTACATTAGATGAAGAAATAATCAAGGGAAACAGAGTCACCAAACAGACTTACTTGTGTGCAAAGGCCTTCTGAAAGTGTCTCATTGAGTTTTGACAGAACATCAACCATGCTGAATCTTTGGACGGCAAAACAGATCTTTGATCATAGATTGGTACTACATTCTGAAGACCATCATAATATACTAACGCCAATAACTCATGTATCTCAGCCTGAAAGAAGCAGGAACAATCATATGTAGACTGTGAGAACGAAATGCACTAACACACTCTTAGCTCCAACATTAACTTTTTTTATAACGTAAGGTAATTATTAGTAAATAAAGACTGGCAGAAGTTCATCAACATAGTCAATTGCCAAGCAAACTGAAAATTGTTAACACCTAAGTAAGCATTCAAACCATTCTATATGTTTGTCAGGAGTCAGGACCACCAACAAAACAAGAAAGAAAAAGAAACCTTGATACATGAAATTCGTGTAACATCGGAAGATTCAAACTCCGACAACGGGTATGTCCTTGATTACTCCTAGGATGGCAATAAGATCTAACAAAACCAAAACCTTCACCCACAAGTTATCAGAGTGAAGCAAACCTGTTGATCTGCTGTTTTGGCTAAAGCTAAAGTCATCAACAAACATCGTCTGCTCCTTCTGCGACTTGCCTCAACTCTCTCAGATAAAACAGCATTTTTTCTCCATCCCAGAACATTTATTTGCTTGCTTCCATCATTTAGCAGCAAGTCTACCTCCTGCGTACCAAAAAGATGTAAAAAAAAGTGAAAAATATAGAGATTAAGTAACTACGACGCCCACAAACTCCCCACAGTATAAAACTGCCTTCAGTTGGGGAATGTATAGCCGCAACAGATAGACTGCAGACAATCTTACCTCATCATATATATTTGCAAGTTTCTGCCAACTCTCCAAGCGTAGGAGATTGTAAATTAAATCATATTTGATGAGATTTGCATTTTGCTGCACAAATTCCTCCCCTTCTTTTGTCAGAACAAAGCCAGCCCATTTATCAGTTGCATTCATTTCTTCAGACTGAGCAAGAAGATAATACAAGTTGCTATAAACTTCCAGGTATGGCTCAGAACTGCAAACAACCAATGACAAATACCTGTTTGAGTCCATAGTCCAAAGTACTGGTAAATTCATTTGTTCCAAAATGCTGATCCCATAACTAACATATTTACCTTCCTTTTGATGATGGTTTCTGCTGTTTGAGGCTTCTGGGATCTGACAATAATATCTTTGTCATGGATTCCAAAAAGCCACTGGATCCTGCTTCCTCAGAGAGTTTGTCTTCACACATTTCAGGACCATCTAAAAACCTGTCTATTGCATTTCCAGCTAAAACATCATCTGGTGGTTGCGGAAAGTGCTTTCGTATAGCTCTAAGGACTCTTCGGAGTTTAATGAGCCCGGTTTTCTGAAAGAAAAGCAAAATTGAGAGCTTTAAAATCATATATTATGCCTAGAGAGGAAAATATAACTACATATAACTGAAATAATACTTCTCGCGGAATAAGGAATTGGAGGAAGAGGTTTGATAAGTAGGATTTGAGAAAAAGAAGAAATGTAGCACTTACAGAAGAAGCTTTTGCATAGGGAAGTATATACTGAAAAACGTCAGCACATTGTTCCTTAGTTTGGTAATCACCCCGGCTTGTGTTCTTATGCGCAGCTAAATCATCTTCATAAGATGCATCAGACCTTAGATTCAATCCGTACAGACAGTAAAAGCACTGATCCAAAGCATTATCAATGGCAACTTCAAGCTCCTCCTTTTCATCTTCACTTAGCTCGGTTCCATCTTCGACCAATTGATCCTTTGATTTCTCCGATCTAGGGTACGAACCATCAGAGACATCACCAGTATTCTTACTTTTCTCCACTTTAGTTTTCTCAACCTCCAGAGCTTTACTGGCAGAAATGGCTTCTGCACTAATCCTCTCAACAGCATCTTTATCTGAAGCAGTAGCTTCATCTCTATCTACCTGACCTGTCACATTTAGGTTGTCCAAATTTGATACATTTGATAACACTTTGATGTTGCTTCCATGAGAAAGTTGCTCAGATCTCCCTACATTATTATCATGAGAAGACTGTTCGTCGCACTGAGACATTTCAAATTCCTTGCAGACAGAGTGAAAGTTAGATTTCAGTTTCATATCCAAGTTCAAGAGGTGCTTTATTGCAAGTTTTAGAAATGTTCCTTCTTCCTCTTCACCAGTTGCATTTGCACAGCAGACACCAAACTCAGCAAGCATGTCATGGATTGCCACGATCAACTCTGTCTGGCATGATAAGGTTAAAGAGATCAGCTTGTTTCTAATGAAAGATTAAGATAGAGTTAGCAAACACTGATGTTACAGCTGACAGTCAACGGTCTAAACCCTCTAAAGAAAGAAAGATGTCTCACTTGAGCTTTTATAGGAACATTTGGGATCAAGTGTTGGAGTTTACAGAATGCAATAGCTGCATCTACAAAGTACGAGCTTTCTCTCTGTTCCCTATGATCTGAAATTCCTGGGCCAGAAAATTTCTTACAAGAATATGTGTTGGCAATGTTACACATAAACATCAGCAGCGACGATTGAATATCACTAATGACAGTCATTGGAACACCACTCTGCAAGGGAAAGATGTATCAAATTCTGCAACCTTAGCACAAAACTTATTTATCAAAAGAATACACAGCAAAAAATAAGTAGATGCCTGATGATCATTGCTCATTAACTAAATAAAAGTTTATCATTTCTTGAAAAACTAAAATGTGAAGAATCAGTTACATTTCATCTAATATTTGTCAGCAAGAACATGGACATTAATTGTCTAGATGACCGAAGTTCAGGATGAGAAAGTGCAAAAAGTCAGGTCAGATGAGAAGCATCCATCTCTAAAGGAACGCGAGTTTAAATGGAGAGAGCAAGGAAATCACCAAAAACTTAAGAAAAAGGACAAAAGGTGGCAAGACCTTAGAACTAGAGTTGGAAGAAATTGCATAACAGAACAAGTCATCCTTATTTAAACTTCTCACTTTCTTGTCCTAGTTGGACAAGGATTTTGACCAAATGAAATCCATGACAGACTATCATATTGGCATACTCTACCTTCCCAATCTTACAATAAGCATCATAACCATACAACTACGGCTGACTGTCTAGTATGGAAAGTCAAACTATGAAAAAGGGGATAAAGTTGAACAAACAAGCAATATAGGAGTAAAGTTGGTCAAAAGAATGCTTTGTGCTTTTGTAGAAATATTTGGGATCAAATGTTGAAGTTAACAGAATGCATTATCTGCATCTTCAAACTATCAATTTCTCTTTGTTTACTTTGTTCTGAAGTTCCAGGTCCAGATAGCTCTTAGAAATCTGGGTGTTAGCATTATTAAACATAAGCATCACTGGAAAAGGTCATCACTACAATAATAATTATAAGCACAATACGTAATGCTCCAATCTTCTAGTAGAATTACTTGACAACTAAATAGCCAGCACGTAGTGGATAAAGTTGCAAAGATCAATGTTATACTAAACACTATCAGCATAATTCACAAACCTAAAGACCATAACAGCATTAAACAAACCAAACCATGCATATTTGGAGATTAAATTCTAGAGATCCCTAAACCTTCACCAAAAGTATTGTTCTCTAGGCAGTTACACCAGTTCAAGCTTTAAAAGTAAGCTAAAGGCAGCAAGTAAATGTTCAACTACATGTGGAGTGGTGCAGACAGCATTACAAAATCAGTATTACATGTTTTTCTAGTGCCCCCAATATGTGAGGTCAACACCCCTAGCTTATTGACAGTGAGGAACTTATAGCAAGCTAGACTTTTGAATTCTCTATCTTCTCTCTCTCTCTCTCTCTCTCTTTTTTTTTTTTTTTTGGGGGGGG